CGGGAGCCATACGAAGACGTGAACCTGCACAGACAATTTTCTGTCTTAGGCTGCAGTGTCCATTACGAACTTAAAATAACCAATTTGAAACAATTCCGGGGAATAATGTCGCTAAAATCATTAAAATACCGAATATCGGAAGGTACCGTTATATGGGGGCTATGCGAATACATGGACCTGCACAGACAATTTTCAGTCATAGGCTGTAGTATTTATTTCGAACTTTAAATATCAAATTTGAAACAATTCCGGTGCATAATGTCGCTTAAATCACCTAAATATCGAAAAAAAGGAGGTACCATTATATGGGGCTATACCAAAACGAGGACCTACATGACCCAGTTTCAATACAAAAAATCCTGCAGACATAATACACATTTTAGTAAAATTTTATCAACCTACTTCTTGTCGTTCGGAGTGATTTCCACAAACGGACAGACGGACGGATATCTCTAAATCGATATAAAATTTTATGCTGATCAAAAATATATGTACTTTGCGGGGTCTAAAATGTATATTTCAAGGTGTTACAAACGGAATGACGAACTTAATATACCTTCCATACTATTTATGGTGGAGGGTATAAAAACCCAAATTCAATATTTTTTTATTGAATTTTATTTATTTTTTTTAACTTAATATTAGTTTTTTAAGGATTCCACAGGTGCACTGAAAGGTAGCAAAACATAAATGTAAATAATTATGAAGTTGGCTGGAGTAAAAAAATAAATTTCAAAAATCAATTTCAAGCAAAACAGAATTTTTGCTTTTTTGCAGAACCAAAAATTGTTTGCTTTAAATTATTTATTTTATTATTTTTTTGTTTTATGTTTTTATTTTCTTAATGCTTCTCTAAATTTTCAAAATCTCGTATTTGCCAGTATTTACTAGTTTCTTCCGGATTCAAGCAGTGGAAAGAGGAAATAAACTTGATGGATATTTTTTTTTCTGTTCCTCTTTGAATTCACTTCTATGGCCATTTGAAATGATTATGATTTTTGAAATTGATTTCCGTTAGTTTTATGGCATGACCTTTGATATTTCTTCCTCTCTCTTTCACTCTCTCTCTCACTCGCTGATTTCTTAATGCCAAGTTCACTGCAATAAAAGAAATATAATTTTCCATAAAAATTATCATAAGTGTGCCTAAACTTTTGTCCAACAGTGTAATTTATCTATTTTATCAAACAAACTATTTGCCACACGCTTAAAAATCGTTTTGGCTGTGTATTTTTATATCACACTGTACCGGCAAAAAAAAAAATCAGACAGCCATGTAAAATAATTGTCTAACACAATAGCTGATGGTTTTATCTCTACCTTCCCTCTCTCTCACCCTCTCACTCTCTCACACACATGCTCACATGTTTAGGCTGTGGGCTCGACCAACCATATAATTGGCCACCATGTAAACACACACACACACAAACACACACCCATGTAGGCAAACAAATATCAACGGCAACAAGTTTTCCCCCCATTGTGTTTGTGGCCGTGTTTTGTTGTATGAGAGCGTAAAACAATGTGCGAGAGAGAGAGAGAGAGCGCGCGACCTGCAACCAAGAGAATTAAAGACTTTAGACTTTGAACATTGATATGATGAACTTTGGACTTGAATGGATGGATGGATGGATGTTTTTTTCCTATACACACGAATAATTGTATGAAACCAAACAGAAACCGAAAGAGTAAACAACTGGTCTCAAAGTCCCCCAAAAAGAGGGGCAAAGAACCGGCCAAACCATTTTAAATAAATTTTAATTTGAAAATTAAACAACGAAAAAAAAACAGACAAACTGCTACAAATTATTGTCTATTTCTTTTTTCTGGGGATATTTTCTCCACTCACGCCACAAAAAAAAAAAAAAAATATGATGATCTATACGGAAAAATTTTGAAATGTAGGTCATTATATAGATAGAAAGCAATATAATTCGGACTTATGTTCCAATCTTCGTATTATCAGGAAAAAAAAAAAAAAACAAATAAAAAAACTGTAAATTCGGCTGGGCCAAACTTTTATTACCCTACACCTTAGGGTAAAGGAAACATTAGAGCCCATTATGACCCACATATACCAATTTTTAGACATATTCATGGGAAAATGTGCCAAAAATCATCAAAATTCCGAATATCGGGAAATACGACTAAATGAGGCTATACAAAAACGTGGACCTATACATACAGTGTTTCGCCAAAAGAGCTAGAACCCATTAAGACCAACAAATACCAATTTCTAGACAAATCCGCGAAGAAATGTGGCAAAAACCATTAAAATGCCGAATATCGGGAGGTACCTTTATACGGGGGCTTTACCAAATCGTGGACCTATACATACAATGTTTCGCCACACGAACTAGAACCCATTATGACCTACAAATACCAATTTTTAGACAAATCCGTGAAAAAAAATGTGGCAAAAATCAATAAAATACCGAATATCGGGAGGTACCTTTATATGGGGACTATACCAAAACGTGGACCTATAATTACAATGAATCGCCACACGAATTGGGACCCATTATGACCTACAAATACCAATTTTCAGAGAAATTCGTGAAAATTTGTGTCAAATGTCATCAAAATACCGAATATCGGGAGGTACCGTTATATGGGAACTATACCAAAACGTGAACCGATATATCTCATTTTCAATACCAACTATCCTAGACACAATACAAAATGCTCTGCTAAATTTTGGCGCTCTGCGTCAAATAATATGGGCTGCATCGTTATTTCAACAGAGAGACTGAAAGACAGACGGATTTTTTTTGCGTAAGCAGTGTCCAGGGACCATTACTCGAGAACTAAGCTACGTATCAGTGTAAAATAAACTGATTTGGAAAGCGGAACACTCCTTCCTTACAGTTATGTTTAATGGAGAGACATATTTTCACAATATTCTATTAAATATAAGGTAGATTGAAAATCATACAATTTTTCTTCACAAAGTCTCGTAACAAACTTTTAAAAATTATCCCTGCATCTCTATGTGTATTTAAGTTTGGTTGAAAGATCTTTGTACATATTGAAAGAGGAACTTCTATCCTTCAAATCGGTGTAAAATATTTGGATATAACTCACCAAATACCATAGATATCACCAAAAATGTAGACGCGTTGCAATTTTCATTGTTTTTGAAATTTTTTGCGTAAGCAGAGTTTAGGGACCATAACTCGAAAACTGAGCTACGTATCTGTATAAGGTAAACTGATTTGGAAAGCGGAACACTCCTTCCTTACAGTTATGTATAGTTGAGAGACATGTCCCTACAATATTTCACCGAAATTGGAGGTAGATTATAAATCGTATCAGTTTTCTTCACAAAGTTTCGTAGCAAACTTTTAAAAATTATCCCTGCATCTCCATGTGTATTTAAGTCTTGTTGAAAGATATTTGTATATATTAAAAGAGGATCTTCTATCCTTCAAATCGGTGTAAAATATTTGGATATAACTCACCAAATACCAGAGTTATAACTTAAAATTTCCGTGTGTCTAAATTTTCCATGTTTTTGGATTTCCTTTGCGCAAGCCATTTCCGGAGGCCATAGCTCGAGAAATAAGCCACATATTCTTGTAATATGACCTGATTAGGATAGCGGTATACTTCTTTCTTACAGTAAACTTGAGTTTCGAAACATTTTCGGAAACAATTCCACGAAAATTTGGAGAAATCTGAAATTAAACAATTTTTTCATCCCAAGTTCTTTAACGAAATTGAAAATCTCAGTCGTTGTATTTCCCAAAAAAGGTAAATGTTTTGTAAAAGTTGCTTCATAATTATGGAAGATAGATTTCTAGCCTTCAAATTAATATAAAATTTTAGGATGTTGCTTATCAAATACCAGAGATATCGGCAAAAATGTAGTCGGGTCTTAATTTTACTGATTTTAGAATTGTTTGCCTAAACTCTTTCCGGAGGCCAAAACTCCAGAACAAAAGCACTTTATTTCAAGGAAATTGACAGATTAGGAGAGCAGAAAGCCAAATCATAACGATTTAACACATCTCGGGAATATTTTGGAACAAGATTCCACTTTAATTTGAAGAAAAGTTAAAAATCATTAATTTATTCTTAAAAGCTAAATGACATTGTTTCAAATTTCTCTTTATATATCTTAGTCAGCAATGGATTATTATGAATAAATGCCATTGGTTTTTGGTAGAAGAATGTTTAATCTTTAATTTCCTATCAAATTTGTGCATATAACTTGAAAACTTCCAGAGATATGACAAAAATATTAACTTCCCTCAATTTTCTCAGTTTTTCTAAATTTTTGAGTAAGCCCTTTCCCTAGACCATAACTTTGGAAATATATTAGATATGTCTGTAAAAGTATTTATTTAGGAAGAATAATGTCTAAACTATACAGCGAAAATTATCGCAGGATAATATCGATGTTATATCTAACCTAAAATTTCACAAAAACAGAAATTATCGGATGTTCTTTTCTATACTTATATTAAAATGCATATATGTCAACGTATATATGTCTAATTAATTACAACATTTCTTAATATATCTGAATGTATATTACAAGAGGAATATTCTGTCTTTACAAATTTGTTAAATCTATCAATAAATCTCCATAAACACCCGAAATATCCTAAAAATACATCGATGACGCAGAATAACATATTTTTGACAATTTTTTGGTAACCCTGTTCTAGAGGCCACAATTTAAAAAACAATAGGTATATCTCCATGAAATCGCTATATTTGTGGACCTCTTTAACCACTTGAATATTCTATGGCTGAGAATCTCCCCCAAGGTCGGGACAAATTTGTAAAACGCCTTTGTGAAACCAAGATTTAAAGTATTTTCACGATTTAAAAGCAACTTTTTACCTCCACCTTGCTGTCCCTCATTTTGAAGATATTTCTAGATTTGTCTTTTCGATTATGAAATTCGAAGCCCTACCAATATATTTTCTCTACAGTAATCACCGATTTTCTTTAATATATATTATTTATAATTTCTTTTCCCTTACTTCCAGGTCGATGTCATTACCGGACGCCAATATACCTTTGCTGAGCTACGTGACAACAGTGCCGCGCTAGCTGTTCGTCTCCAAACGAAATTTAAATTACAACAACGTGATGTTGTTGCCGTCTGCTTGCCAAATTTACCCGAATATCCCGGTGTTGTATTGGGTGCCATTGAAGCTGGACTTACAGTGACCACCGTTAATCCCATTTATACAGCAGGTGAGTTAGCATAGGAAGCTAATTATTTTGAACATTAATGAAAAAAATCCCAAAACTTTTTGATTTTGAAATATGATACCTTATAATTCATGAAATACAACATTCCCATAGCGAAACAAGTCACCGAGATATTAGCCAGTTTTTCTTGCACCTAAAACTTTTTAGATTTTCCTTTATTTTTTGCTACGACCCCCCGGAAGCCATAACTTTGGAAAACGTGGAAGAATTTTTATAAAAGTTTATGTTTTTGAAAGCTTGTAGTCCGATCTTTACAATTTTCATAAAAAGTAGTGATGTTTATCCAGAAAAAGTCCATGAAAAATTAAGTTTTAGAAATGACTATCATTGATTCCTAACTGTGATATATTGGGAGGAGGATTTCAAAAGATATATATCTTCTTTCTTAGGTAATTTTTTTATTTAAAATTTTCCTGATATTGAAAGCGGAATGGCTGCTCTTAAATACAAAAAAAGTCTGTGGATAAAGCTCAGCAAATACTAGAGATATCGCACAATTTTCTCATTTCTTGGAATTTTCCAAATCTCTCCTCGTTTTTCATTCCGATGTCCTGGAGCCCCCAACTTTGTGGAAAGTTGATATATTTTTATAAAATGACATTTTTTTGGAAGCTTAATGTCGGCTCCTTAATATACAAAAATAATATAAAGATGTTGCTGCGAAAAAATCCAGAAACATTTTAATTTCCTGCATCACTAACATTGAACCCTAAGAGGCTTATGGTGCTACGCCTTTGTTAAAAGCCATACATCTTTTTTGAAGCTGAATTTGCACATACATAATTTTCTTTGGGACTGGGGAAGGGAAGGTTTGATCTCCAATCGAGAATAAATTCTCGGAAAATAGCTCTCCAAATTCCAGAGGTACGGCACAGTTTATCCATTATTTGAAATTTTTGAAATCGCTTTACATTCTTTGTCACTGTGTCCTGAAGGCCATAATTTTGTGAAAAGTTAATATATATTTTTATGAAATGACACGGTTTTGAAAGCATAATGCCGGATTCTTAATATTCAGAAATAGTATGGAAATATTGCTTAGAAAAAAATCCAGAAAAATTTTTATTTCTTGCATAAATACCATTTAATCCGAAGCGTCTCATGGTGCGCCGCTTTTGGTTAAGACCGCATATCTTTTTGATTTTGCATTTGCATACATATATTTTTACTCAGGACTGGGTAAGGGAATTTTTGATCTCCTACTGAGAATAAATTTTTTGAAAATAGCTCAACAAATTCCAGAGATATCGCACAATTTATCTGTTACTCGGAATTTTCCAACTCATTTCAAGTTTTTTTGTAAAGATTTCCTAGAGGCTAGAACATGGAAACTGGTCGACATATTTCTATGAAACTTCACGATTTTTGAAGCTAAGTAACTGCCTTTCGAAATTTCTAAATAATACGGAAATATGAGCATTGAAAAGTCCCGAAAAAAATATTGGCAATACCTATTCTATCATTGAATCCTAAAAGTCTTATGACGAGCCGTCGTAGTTTCGAGCTACTTATTTTACTGGTAAGTAAGATTTTAATTTTATTGTTATTCTGAGGCTTATTGAAAGAATGTTTGAGCCTCAAATGAAGAAGAAATCCGACAACTTTGTTCTCCAAATACCAAAGATATTGCAAAATTTATCCATTACTTGGAATTTTTAAATTGTTCCACATGCTTTGTCCCGTCTTCCAGCAGGCTCTAACTCTTAAACAATTCCAAATATTTGTAATGAAATTTCATGAGGTTATAGGCTTAGTACCGGATTTTTAAAACACTAAAATAATCTGCACATTTCGCTGCTAAAAATCCAGAAAAATATTAAATTACCTATATACTTACAGTTTGATCCTAACTGTCATAATATGAGGCGCGGAGTTTAATATCACATATCTTTCTTGAAATAGATTTGCATTTCTATTTTTTTCCTAAGGCTTGGGAAAGGTCCTGTTGGGTCTTCAAATAATATATAGTTTGTGGATGTAGCTATCCAAATACAAAAAATATCACACAATTAAATCATTAATTGGATTTATTAAAATCGCACCTAGTTTTTGGTAATGATGACCTGGAGGCCATAACTTGAAAACAGATCAATATATTTTGATGAAATCAGATTATTTTGAAAGCCAAGTAACCGCTCTTCGAAATTTCTAAACAATATAAAAATATTGCTGCGAAAGAAATTCAGAAAAATTATAAATACAAATAATTGACTTTTATACTTAGCGTTGAATCCTAAATGTCTTATGATGGGGCGCTGTTCCTTCAGACCTCATATCTTTCTTGCAGCAAGATTTAATTTTTATATTTTTTTAGCGGTTTATTGAAAGGACTTTTCGATCTTCAAATTAAAAAGAAAAACACAGGGATTTAGCTATCTAAATATCAGGAAAATCATAAAATTATTTATATGTAAAATATCAAAATATCCAATTTATTGTAACGATCTCCTGCAGTCCATAACTTTCGAAATTTTAGGTTTTAGGTTTTAAAATTATACGATTATGAAAGTCTTATTCCCGTTCCTTAACATTATGAAAAAATATATGAACTTTCTTTGGCCACTATGCTCCAAAAATGATTTCAAGTGGTCCCCTAGCGTGGAATCCTAAGATATGTCTGCTAAAATTATCATCTTGCGGCCCATATTTATTTCAAAGGATTAAATTTAATTAAATATTCCCAGTAAAAATTTAAAAAAGTCTTTCAAAAATATGGAGAATGCCAAAAAAATAACATGTAGTTAGCTCACCTAATACCAGAGATATCATATCATCATTTGTGAAATTAAAAACGCTCCCATCTTCTGTGACGACCTCTTGGAGTCCATAACTTGGAAACTAAATGACATATCTTTATGAAATAAAATGTTTTTGGAGAGCTCAATGTACGCTCTTTACATTTCTTTAAAAACTGTAAATGTTATTTTATAAGAAATTGAAGAAAATCAAAAATTCCCAAAACACTACCGTAAGATCCTAGACTTGATATGTGGAGACACATATTTTGTGGGTCAAATTTCCAAATAAAACAAAGGAAATTAGATTTTATTTGTTTCTGTTTACATTATCGTGGATTTCACAGACTTCTCAGCCGTGTTTGGATTAAATTTGTGAATTTCTAGAGTGATATGACTATCTCCCAAAACACAATCAACCTAGCCTAGATTTTTTAATATTTTTTTTTTAAATGCTTTAATGTCCCAAGACTCTAGACCTTTGTCTTTTATTGTAAATTATCATTCCGAATGACATTCTCCACAATAAAAACATACTAGAACAGATTATCTTATCTTAAAAATAAGAAGTATATACTTATTTTTCCAAGCAGACACCTTAGACTTTGTCTTCGCATATGAGTGTGAATTTTTTGCATTTCATGTGATAAAAAAACCCTATCAACTATTTTATCACACACACTAATTGGGTTAATTTTATGTAAAACGCCATTTAAGACCCCCCGCAAAAAGGGGAAAGTGTGTTCAAATATCAGCAATGAAATGTTATCAACCTTTCCCAAAGTGGGCCTCAGAAAACTTGCCATGCGTCAAAAGAAATGCGAACTCATTTCTTATCGCCACAAGGCAATAGTCGGCAATCAGTTTTGTTTTTCACGCACGTCCAAAATTTTTGCTAAACTGATAACGTTATTATGCCCCGGGGCATAGGCATGATTTGGTTTGGGGGTCCAATAAACTCATTTAATCAAACAAATAAACAATATGACCTAATTTGGGGGCTGTAGAAAGACATTAACCAAAAAAGAAGTTTGTCCATGAGAAACAAGTTCAAGAAAATATTGTAAATCAAAACCATATATGGTCCTTAGACCAACAATTTTTTCCCTACTTTAAAACGATAGCTCTGGAAATCTCCCAAAAAAAGATTTTATTAAATATTTATCCAATTTTTCGAAAGTTAAGGCCCCATAAATTATTACCCAAAAATGGACGAAAATGGTTCAAGTTTGCGTTACTGGTTCATTTTTGTGATATCTTGCGAAGCTTTTCAGTTATATCAGAAAATTCAACAGGTCTAGAAAGCCCTGATATCCTCCTCCACATCCACAAAATGATGTCCATATATATCATTAAGTTTCCAAGATATAGCCCTTCCAAAATATGCATACTGACATGGATCACATGAGAGACAAACGATATATATTAATTTCTCTACAAATATTGGCATAACATTCTTGCGAATATTCCACAAACTTCATCAGCTATGAGGACCAGGAAGAGCTCTTTCAAAATTGGTTCAACTTATGGAGATACATGGAGTACTTCCAAAGTTATGACCTCTGCAATTTGATGACGCAAAAATTTTTTGAAATTTGAAAAATTGAGTCACAAACATATTTTTGAGATATCTCGGTTATTTGGTGAGCTAAATCTAAATATTTTATATTATTTTAAGGCCCAGAAGCTCTGCTTTTAAGATGAAATATAATATTTTAATAAAATTTTATTAGAAGTGAAGATATGCACATCGACATTTTGAGCTATGAAAAAAGTCTTGCGGCCAAAAATGGTTTAGTATGCGATTCTCTCCAATTTTTTGCATAAATTTCTCCGAGAGTACACTAAAATACAGCTTTTTGAATTGAGGCGAACCAGGGCTTTGACACGGTACTCATTTTGACGCGATTTAATCATGTTGTCCCTAGCTATGGACTCAGGTATTTGTCTACGCAAAAATTTATAAAATTGTGGTAAAATTAGGCACTTAAAATCTTTTACGATATCTCGAGTATTTGGTGAGCTATATCTAAACTATTGATATCAAAATAAAGGCAAGAGGTCCTTCTTTTCTACAAAAATAATTTCCAGTAATCAAAATAGATAAGAAACAAAAATAATATAGCCGAGATATTGAATATTGATTGGCGCCCAATATGAAATTTTTAATAGGAATGTTATTTCTCCATATTTGAGTGAAATTTGGTTAATAAATGCCCTTAAAATAGAGATTATGAAAAAGAATAG